CCCCAAAACCCCAAAACCCCAAAACCCCAAAACCCCAATATCGTATTAAAATTTGTAAATGTTTATTCCTAGCATTCTCTCCAGGGTAGTCTACTTCTTATTGCGTCTTTTCTTGGACAATCTCGATGCAGTCATTCCACCACCCATCTTAGATCTTGGCATTGGAGGAGGTAAGTGGCAATAATCGTTATTACTTGAGTATTGTAGAGTAGGGTCCTTCATGCCCAAATTCAAAGTCCCTGCAGTCTTGAATGAAGAACCTCCTGTATATACAGCTTTTTGGGCAGATAAGTACACATTCTCAGCTTCTTGGCTTGATTTCTCGACAATAAGCTTTCGCATTTCCTCTTTTATCATCTCGATATCCTCTTCAGTAAGGTTAATATGTTGGATTGCTCCTTCTCTTCTTAAGTTTTCTAGTGTCTCCATTAATAAGTTGAGCTGGGTTTGAGCAACTGAGCGAGCATCGACCCCATCAAGTAGCTCATCTATCTTATCCTCCTCTGTAGGCCGTTGTGTGCCTACAGACTTCTTCTTTGGCTCCTTTGTTGGTTTTGAATTCGTCTTCTTGGTCTGAACTTCTGTTTCCACCATGTAGCCACACTCAAGAAGGAACTTGGTAATTTTCTCCTTTTCTTGTAACAAATCCTTCATAGTATCCTCCTCCTTGGCTACCTCAGTAGTGATCTGGGCTTTACTGATTCTGTCAGGAGACGTTTCTCTCTGCCTAACTCCGATTCCAATTCTGGAGGAAGTACGACTCTTTTGCTTGAATTCTTCAGAATCAGATTTTTCTTCAATTTTGTCAGGAGATTTTTGCTTAGAATTAGGATTTTCTCAAATATTTTGTGGTATACTAGACGGAGAATTTGAAAATATCTTCTTGTCAATACCGATATCAACTTTTGTAGCAGGTTTTTGAGGTTCTATGACTGTACGAGCTGACTCAGTCAAGTAATCAAAAGGAGGGATTATTTGTTTTTGAGTCAAATTAGACTCTTTTGTAACGCTCCCACTAATATCAGTCTGGACCCTCTGGTCCTTCTTGCCATCCCGCCTACTCTCTTGTTTATCCCCAGTTACATCCAAGTTCAATCCCATACCATTCTTTTCCTTATCGCCACCAGCTGGTGTTTCAATATACTCCTCTCCCACATAACTTCTCAATGAACTACAGGTAACATAACCGCTTACCTCAGATTCCTTTTCAGTCTTTCAACCAAATTCTGCTTAACCCTGATCTCATCTTCCATGACTTTGGCACTGGCCATCATCTCCTGGAACCTGGTGACCACTTGGCCCATATCGAACTTCATTCTTTTAAGGGTTTTGAGGAGGGATTGGATCTCAGAGTCTCTTCTAGAAGGGGGTTAGAGGGAGAAAGGGGAGTTGGGGAGGGAAGTGGTGGTATTAGGGGTAAGAGATGGGGGTGGAGAGAGATGGGAATTTTGAAAATTGGGATAAAATTCGGAAAATTTCGATACTTTTTGATTTCTGAGGGAAATTGTTCGATTTGGTATTGATATCGAGTGATAGTGTCCTTGTCTTGTTCCATTTGAGACTCTAAGTTCTTATATCTCTTCAATTGATTTAAAATCTTAGTATTCTCCGTATTCAAAATCCCATACTTCTGCTCCAACTCAGCGACTTGCAGCCTGTGCTTAGCCATTTCCATCTCCTGATTTTTCAACTTCACTTCAAGATTACATTTCTTCCTAAACAAATTCATTTCCTTATCCTTCAAAATTTCAAATTCCTTCACCAGAGGATCATCTCCAGTCTGCACCTCAACCTCAACCGGCACTGTGCGCTTATAGACTCTCTTAATGACCTGCTCAGCTGTCATTTTCTGCATATCGAAGAACTTTTGTGTTAAAATATCTTTCAAAATATGGTAATCAGGTGACACATTCTTCTGCTTACGGTTATCCTTGACGATCTCTCCCTCAAATAGCAAGAACTGGTAGATATCAGTGAGCGTGAAGCTAGGATCTTCCTCTCTGTTGGCTTCAAAGAAGCCAACAGAGAGGAAGTCTGGCTTCTCCAAGTCATCGAAATTACCAAGTGCTTCTAACTTTTTGATCTCAACGTCAACGTCCCTCTTAAGGCTGATCTTGTCCTCTTCAATTTTTTGCAGTTGAGCATTAGCTCAATCAAGCTGAGAAGACAAGTTGTTGATAGTGTAGTCTTTGGACTCGATGACTGAGAGATAGTGCGACTCTGTCTGGTTACGACAGGTAATCAATTCATCGATTACCCTAGCACAGATGGTATAAATGGTGCTAAATCTATTAAAAATAAGCTATGATATTCAAGGAAATCATAAGGTCAATGAATAAGTCTAACCTAGTTTGCATCAAACAGACATACAACATAGAAGGTTATCTTAAAACCTAAAGATCAGATTCAAGCCTCTGTAGAGTTACTTACAAGTTTGCTTTCCTCATCATGCTTTCCCTTCGTCATCATGATTTTCAGAGAATTAAATTCAGATTTCTTGTAGCTAGCTTCTATTTTCTTGGAAATTTTATTCACAAATTTACACTTCTTCATGAAACTACTCAGGTATTCAGGAGTCCCTGATTTGTATTTCTTATTAACATTTATAGAAATAGAGTACTCGATATCAAACTTGTCAATCTCTTCTTCAAGCTTAAGAAGGTCTGCTAAGAATTTCTTATACCGTTTAGTATCCTTCTTTCCAGTTTTAACTTTGATTATACTCCCTTGAGACTGTCTACGAAGATGAGAAGTAGCCATGGGAAGAGGAGCCTCCTCCTCTTTCTTCCCTGGGGCTGCTATCGGTAAAGGTTGTGTCATATTGAGCTTAGAGCCTATGAAACCTCCCTTCGCCTCTGTATGAGTCGACTTAGAGTTATTATCATCACGGTAATGATTCAAACTTAAATTTTCCAGGTTCAGGCCAGGATTCTTCTGGCTTTCGTCCCTAGACTTGTTAAAAGTAGGGTTCATAGCTTCCTTGAAGGGGTTATCTCTCCTTTCTTTTAAGTAGAAAGTTTGGCTGCTAATATAACTTTCATTATCTTTATAATTCTGCTTACTAAGACTCCTGTTATGTGTCTCATAAGCATAAGGCAGGCTGTATAGAGTCCTGTGATGGGAATGAGAAGAGTTCATGCCCTTTTCAAGCTTAATTTTTCCAGGAGAGACATGTTTAGACCGCCGTTGCTTTCTAAAGGTCCGAATTTTACCTGCAGCAAGCTTGTTTTTAGCATCCTTGGTGTATACTTTATTTCACTCTAGTGTGAGATAGTTCATAAGGATGGCTCTCTCTGCCATCATCTGAGTTTTTTAGAGACGGAATTGTTCCAAAACTTATAGTCGGTACTTTCACATCTAATTCTATGTTATCATGTTTGACTTGTTGAATGATGTTTAAGGATTCTATTCTAAAATATTAGACCAGTTGATATCCAAACCTTCTATGTATAGCCTTTGGCTTTACTAGAATATTAGTTTTCAAATTGTATTTCTTAGTAGAGGTTCCTCTCTTTTCCATAATTTTCAATATATTTTATTTTTGAAGGGGTTTTGGGGTTTTGGGGTTTTGGGG